TTTTTTTCATTGGGTGGGCAAATTTAAAGATCAGTTTGGTCCAGCATGCTGCTAAACAGATAGAAGTTGGAACCATTTCCCCTGAAAACTGGAACAAGACAAGGATGCCCACTGTCACCCCTCCTTTTCAACATAGTTTTGGAAATACTAGTTAGAGCAATCAGACAAGAGAAGATCAGGGATATCTAAATAGGAAGAGAGGAAGTCAAGTTATCCCTTTTTGCAGACAACTAGATTCTATACCTTGAAAACCTCCTTGCATTGATAAAGGACTTTGGCAAAGTCTCAGCATATAAAATATAAGTGAGCAAAAGACAGTCACATTTCTATACACCAACAATAAGCAAACAGAAACTCAAATAGAAAGTACAATCCCAACCAAAATAGCCATTAAAAAATGAAATACCTTGGCATCTTCCTAACCAGAGAAGTGAAAAACCTTTACAATGAAAACTACAAAACCCTGCTCAAAGAAATAAAAGATGACACAAATAAATGGAAAAATATTCCATACTCATGGATTGGAAGAGTCAACATTGTTAAGATGTCCATCCTACTCAAGGCATTCTACAGATTCAACACAATACCCATTAAATTACCAGCAGCATTCTTCTCTGATCTGGAAATGACAATACGAGAATTCATATGGAAACATAAATAACCACAAATATCCAAAACAATGCTCAGCAAAAACAATAACAACAACAACAAAAAACAAAGCAAGAGGTAACACACTCCCAGACTTTAAACTTAATTATAAAGCTACAATAATCATAACAGCCTGGTATTGGTACCAAAACAGGTATATAGACCAATGGAACAGGATTGAGATTCCAGAAACAAAATATCAATTTCTCAATCAACTCATCTTTGACAAAGGCTCCACCACCAACCACTGGGGAGAGGAGAACCTGAATAGTAAATGGTGCTGGAAAGACTGGCTGACCACATGCAGAAGATTGAAACAGTACCCCTACCTATCCTTCCACACAAAAGACAACTCTAAATGGATCAGAGACCTAAACATAAAACCTCAAATTCTAAGAACCTTAGAAAATGCAGGAGACACTCATGGAAATTTCTGATCAAAATCTGAAGTGCCCATGCCATAAGAAATAAGATAGACAAGTGGGGCCTTATCAAACTGACACATTTCTGCAAAGTAAAAGAAACCATCAAGAGAGCAGGAAGACAGCTCATAGACTGGGAAAAAATATTTGCCAACTCTATGTCTGACAAAGGCCTAACATCTAGGATCTACTGAAATATCTAATGAAATATCTTAAATGGTTTTAATAGCTTGCTTGACATAAGTAACTGCATTTTGTTAAAATCCTCCACCTTAGTTGCTTGCCTGACCTAGAAATTGCTCCCCCAGTGTGTGTGTGTGATTGTTGTAATGTTCCCATGATCACAGACCCACATCTTTGTTCCCCCTGAGCTGTTCCTGCTGACCATTTGGAAATTCCCTAGCCACAAATTCCATGCAACTGTATGCTTTGTTAACTGAAATCAGATGTTATGCCAAGAAATTTTTCCTTGCAAAATTCCCCCTGCCACATCCCCATATTTTGTTGCTATATTTTGTTCCCTTTTGTTTTTAGTTCCTTGATCCCTCACCCCCTGCTATTTAGCCTGCTTGCTGTTTTTGCCTTTATAAGCTTCTTCCTAGTTTTGCTTGGGGTTGAGGGCTTCCTTGGCATGAACCCACTCTTGAATACTGGCTATTAAATGACTCAAAATTCGACCTGTGTTCTGGCGACTCTCCTTTCTCATGGTTTGGCTATAACATTTGGAGGCTCAAGCGAGATAATCGCCAGCACGTGCAGCAGCTTCACTCTGGCTCTCCCCAGCTTGGTAGAATGTTGTCAGGGAGGTGCCTCCTGAGTCATATCAGGACCCCATAACCTCTCATTTGACTCAGAGGAAATTGGAACAACTGCTGGCAGCTTATTGTCTCAAAAGAACCTAAGTCTGTCTACAGTCTCCTAGGAGGCAATAATCTGTTTTGTTCTGTTTGTGGCCACAATTTCTGTTTAAGGGAGTCAGAGCCTGATGAGGCTGCCCTTCATTAGGCCAAGACGTTGACTGAATACAGTCCTCTGGTTTTCTGCCCTGAGGTTGCTCCAGGGATCTGCAACACTTCTGACTTGGTATGGATGCGCCCTGTCTGCCTTTGTGTTTTAATTGTTTGTTTGTTGTTTGCTATGGGTTCACAGAAGTCACAACCTGTCTATCCTCTGGACTATATGTTAAATAATTTCTCTGTTGCATTTGCTGAGGACTACGGTGTCCACCTTTCAAAAGTTAGGCTCCAGACCCTCTGCAAAATAGACTGGCTTGTGTTCAATGTTGGTTGGCCCTCTACAGGGTCTCTGGATGTTCATGTCACTGAATCTAGAAGGTCATCACAGGAACTCCTGGTCACCCAAACTTGTTTCTCTTTATTGACCAATGGTTTAGTTTGACTCAAAACCCACCCCCCTGATTGAAGACATGTCCCCTTGAAACTCCCAGTTGAGTTATTTTTTCCAAACCTCTGATTTGTAAACCAGGAATCTCTTGCCCTTGTCTGTCTTATCTCCATCCTACTTCTACTAATTTATACCCTGTCTTACAGACTGATAAGACAGATGATCCCCTTGAGAATCTGTTTATCTCTAACTCTAATCCTCTGCCTTATAATCCTCAAGCTTCCTCACCCACTGTCACCTCTTCCACCTCCCCTATGCCTTCTCCACCTTTGGCTACCCACCGCTGCTCTCGGACCAATCTGGCCCCTCTCCTTTCCCTCTAGGAAGTTTCTTCTCCACAGGGGGCAGAATGGACCAAGCGATTGTTTTTGGTATACACCCCTTTTTCCTCTTCTGATTTACACAATTGGAAAGACCAAAATCCGATGTTCTCAGAAAAGCCACAGGTTTTAATGTCTCTGATGGAATCAGTTATGCACACACATTGCTCTACTTGGGACAATTGTAAACAACTCCTTACAACTCTGTTTACTGCTGAAGAGCAGGAAAATATCAGAGCTGGGGCTAGAAAGTCTATTCTAGACTCAGCTGCAGGCACCCAGGAAGAGAGTCAAGAGATGATAAATAAGGTCCCCCCCCGCCCAGATTGGGACCCCAATACCTCAGCAGGGTCCAAGGCATTAGATACCTATCACTGAATTCTATTAGCAGGTTTGAAGAGAGTAGCCTGGATACCAATCAATCTTTCTAAAACTGCTGAGATTCTCCAGGGACCTGAGGAATCTCCAGGGGCATTCCTTGAGC